AGGCCTCTTTATCTATAGATTTACAAAAAGACCTGTATCTACAAGCGGCTTGTACAATATCTTCAGTCTATAGAAGACCCGCAGAAGGTTGTATATCTAAAGAAAATCCTGAATATAAAAAGTGAATGTTTTATATATATATATATATATATATTGACATATTGGAAAAGTTATATGATCCCATAGAAGGTTAACTGTCCATAAAATGTGTATGTACTAGGAAGGCCCTCTGCTTATCTGCCGATACTGCTTTATACTTAAAAGGTCCTTAAGGATCTTCCATCCATAAAAGGCCTATAGTATGTCCTCTATCGACACAATGAATTTAGTCAGGTCTTATGTCTAAAGAAAATATCCTTATATGCCGATTGAGTATAGAACATCTGTATAAGTTTAGACGACAATAACATGCAGGTCTTCTATCCATAGAAAGTCAACGATTAAAGAAAATCTCCAAAAAAGTATATATATAACACCTGAAGAAACCCTTCTGTTTTTGGAAGGTGTAATTAAGGACAGGCGGAATTCAAACGGGATAGAATATCTTCAATTCGACTTCGATGGGTATCATCAACAGGTCGTCTACATATTGATGAATACTTTCTATGGGTTGTTGGGGGCAGATACAGGTCATATGGGGATTTTCTTTAGATTGGAGACCTTCGGCAGTTCATATATAGACTGAAGGTAGATGGAGTCCTTTTTGCAGGTCTATCTATCTAAAGAAGTAAATGTGGAAAAATACAGGATATTAAATATTATATATAGGAAAATTTGAGGACTTCTAAGAGAAAAGAATCAAATCTCCCTATTGAGAATTTGAGGAAGTACTTCTAGTTTCTAACGAGGAAGGGCTTATACACTGTATACGGTCTCTTTTTTAGATTTCCATCAGATAGTAGACTTTATGCAGGTCTTATATAGACTAAAGATAGGTAGAGATATATTCTAGATAGAAGGCCTATTACAGAACATCAATCGAAAGGTTATTTAAAAGTTTTCCAACCATAGAAGTCCTGTAGAAGATTTTCAGTATAGAGAAGACGTGTAGAATATATTCAGTCTGGGAATATCCATCGATCTGACAGAAGGTCTATTGTATAGAATTACGCAGTAGAATTAATTTTATCTATAAAATTAAGACCTGCTTAAGGGCTTTTTTTCTAAAAAGTGAGGTCTTACACCCATAAAAGACCTTTACACAGCCTTATGCCCACAGATGACTTGTAAAAACTATTTTTGTCTGCACAAGACCTTTAAAAAGTTTTTAAATGATAATAGAAGGATATCTTGTGACCTATAAGAGGTCTTCAATTTGCTGGAGGTCATATATGAATAGAAATATAATATTGAATTTCATATATAATACATAGGTGATCTTTCACATATATGAGATCTTACTAGAGGTCCAATATTTATACAGTTCTGCAATAGGAGTTTTTATAACCGATCAAAATTGTGATCCATACAAATATTGGTATTTGACCCTAACTATCTTCCGATCATATCCGTTTCGGACCATTTGAATCGATTTAGAAAGGGATATCACATGATTTTTACAAAATCTTAATGTAAGGTTTTTAAAATACGAATATGAGATTTATTCGGATCTAAAGATCATAATCTGAGGGAAAAATATCTCCAGAGAGAATCGGCTGGTACTTTCCAATTAGTTGTCGCTCAATATTTATGATAATATCCACTGTCCACGGAATTATTTGTCTGGAAAAATATTAAGAAGCCAAGTCGTAAAGAAAATTTCAACTTAACAAAAATAAACGGCTAACACGATGAATAAGATTCTTCAAAAATTATTTACGTTATTTTTAACTTAGATTTTTAAGCGGGATATTTCATATCCTACATAGCCTCAACACCAGAAGACAGTAGATTGCTAGTGTGGCAGGGAATCGTAACATGTGTAAATCTTGCTTTTGAGTTACCATTTGAATGTATGTACATGTGTCTGTGTGTGTGCGCGCGCGAGATTCTGTTGTGTTTAACATGTTAATGGCAAAACTTACCCCTTTTCACAAAATGCACAGGTCGGTCCATCAACAACTTAAAATTGTTTTTGTTGTTTTCTAAACATCAGGTTAACATCGAAAAAAGCAGAGGAAAAAATCTCACCTTTACGTTTATTTGCCGGTAACACAAACAACGGCAACAACAACTGCGACAGCTATACGAGTAAATATTTCTCACTCCTTTACGTTAATTCACAATGAAGTCGAAGAAGTATTTCTTGCCCCCTTTTTTCGTGTTTGTTGGTTCTTCGGTTGTTGTTATTATTATTTGTTACTATTTTTGCTGTTGTTGTTATTCTTTAGATGTTTTTTCGAGAGCTGAACCTGTATTTCTCATTACATTTCTATGATTGTACGAGTATCATCATGGTGGCGTGAGTGTGTGTGCCTCTGTCACTGTCACTTGTACATGAATCTACACTGTGATGGTGTTTTTGTTGTTTTTTACTGCTGCTGCTGTGTTTTTGGCATCTTTTGAATGACAGGTTGTTGAAAATTTCAATTTACTTCAACATTTCAGTTAAGTGAGATACATACGCGCAGCGGCATCATCATCGTCAGCAACGTTCCTCGGTGCGCTGATTTGTATTTTTCTGGTTCGGGATTTTTTAAATACAATTCGACCACGTTTTTAGTTGTTTTGATTATTTGTCGGTGTGTGTGAGAGACTGTGCTATTACTCGATTACGCCGCCTCCTTTTCAATTGTAAATTGACAAATGACGAATATCAAAGCAAATATGTTTGGTATATCGTATCATATTGGAAATTTGTTTTAATACTTGGGTGTGAAAGTGCATGTGAAATTTATATCAGCAAAAGTGAGCAAAAAATGCATTAAATAATTTATGAAAAAATATATAAAATAAATATAGTTAAACCAAATTCACCCATTTGTCGGAAAACCCCAACAAAGTGAGAACTATTAAAATACAAATAATGTGCAATTAAATATATTCTAAGGTGAGAAAATGTGAAATGTAATGTGAACTTTGAATTTTGGTGGAATTCAAAAGGTCAATCATCACCTAAAATTATAAAATTGAGTTGGTACAAATTGTTAAGCCCGCCGGAGGGCAAATCGACTGGAAAAAATGGAAAATTGGATTTTTTTATAAAAAAGGTTTACAAAACTTCTTGCTGTAACACCCCTACTGCGGTCTCTGGTCGTTTCAGATCGTTGTTGTAGCAGGCTCTGGTCGTTTAAGGTCATATACCCGTCTTTGTCGGCGTTGTTCTCAAATATAAGACTAAGAAATAGGCTGAGGATACATTTATCCAGACTTTTTTATGCTTTTTTGGTTTGCGGAAATCCCTGGATAATTTTTAAAATAACAGAGATTATAGACCTTTAATTGCACTTTGTCTATTTTTAGTATACATATTAAGATCTTCCAAGTTTAGACCATACCAGAAGGAGTCGACCGATGTATCCCATCTTCAGTCATGGTCTAGGTTTCATAAAAATATTACGGTGTATATAGTTTGAGACACCATTCACTGGATATTCAATTTAAAATTAATCTCTATTTTGGCACTTACTGACACAGGTAACTGGCGGACCGATGTGTTCGATCTTCGAACTTGATCTAAGGGTTGGTAAAAAGAATGCGTGGTACAACTTTTGCGATCAATCAAAAACTCCATTCGCTTGATATTGGATTTACAAATGTTCAAAATGTTAAACCTTTGTAGGGGAGGTATTAGAAGGAGTGGACCTAAAAGCACCATCTTCAAAAATTATATAGGTCTGGTTGAAATATAAGGTTGTGCCAAATTTGTTTCAAATCAGGTGCTCCACCCGCATTTTCTGCAAAATGTTTACCATTTAGTGGGGTTTTAAACCCTTCGAGAGATATTTTAAACCCTTCGAGAGATATGGTACGCCTAATCCCAACGGATTTGGCCCGAATAAACATGGTTTAATACCAATACATGAGAGAGTGTCATAAGAATTTAAAATACCTAAAATTGGTTGGACCATTATATGGAGGCTATGTTAAACCAATGAGTTTTTTTGACAGGGCCTTCTAAGTCGGATAAATGGTCGGGACCTAGTTATGTTCCTAACTCAAAACATGCGGCGGAGTTTTAAATAAAAACCTGTATACTACCCCTAAACATAAGTCCATGTTTAACATTTTTCGTATGGACATTTTCTACCCGATGAGAATCGAAAACAAGAAATTACAGTTAATTTTATTGAAAAGCGTACCCAAAATGCCGAATCTCTACAGCCGGACATGGCTAAATCGGCCAAGAATTATACTTCCATTAAAAAAAATTTACATCCCCTTTAATTTCATGTTACTATTTTGACGTCATGTCCCAGATCCGAAATATTGTCGACATTTGAGCCTTGTAGAACTTTGAGAAACTTTCTGAACTTAGTGGGAAGAAAAATATGGAAACAAATAGTATGGATGGTATCAAATTATATATATTCTGAAGTTAGTCCAGATTAGTTACACACATAGAGACGAACACAATTTCGAAGACGCACCCTAACAACATATTTCTGTTGATAATATCATTTATGTTCCGCAGTGGTTATAAGAAAAAATTTCTGTATTATTGTCTTAATAGCGTGTGCAGATCTCTTGTCTTCACGAGATTACTCAGCGACGGCAATTACTCATCAAGACCATTCAAATATTCTAATTGGAATCCCAATTGACTACATGTTTTTAAACCAGAGTGTTCCAAGAAGGATATTCCAATATTGGTGTCCCTTATCATCCCCTTTCATATAAAAAATAATTGTAAATTTACATTTTTTAAAGTCTTAAGTGTCTCCGTCGGAAATACTTTTGTACATGAATAAAAAAAAGGTTATTTTCTAAGAGTAGAATCCTCAATTCCGAATTTTACAACATTTACTTGCTTAAGAAAACACTAATAATTATATGTAACATAGAAATTTCATATACCCCTTATTCACATTTGTAATATTCCATTAATTGTCCATTTCTAGGTCCCAAAGATTGTGATATACCCAAGGCTGCGCTGTCGGCCTTACATGCTGGCGTCAATAGTTTTGGCCAATTGACAAACGGTCCACCCAACACGGGCGATTTAACGCTGAACGGTGTTGGTGGCGGCGGAGGTGTTGGGGTTGCGGGGCGTTTACACGTCTCCAATAATTTATGCGATAACCCAAATCCATTGGGTAATAATAACAATAATAATAGTAACAATAATAATAACAGTATGCAGCAACAGGATCAGGTAAGTTTCCAAGTTAAAAAACGAAAATCATCATACATAAATATCATATTTATATATTTCCAATATTAATCAATGTTATTCTTTTTTTCGTTTTTTTTTCTTCCTTGGTGTAATTTTTCTACTTCTTCATAAACAAATAAAATGAAATTGGCCACAAAAAATAATATATAAATTAAATATGTAACAAAAAATATCTATATAATATATATTTGTGCTGTTTGCTGTGGACATCTCTTCTACCTACTACACATCATAACTATTAAACAATCATCATCCAAAACTAAAAAATGTTTTGCATATTTCAATTTGAATGCTTTGCAAAATAAATACAACAACAACAAACTCCTTTTTGTAAACGTTTTAATGTTTTCAAAATCCCCAAAAAATAAAAACAAAACAAAGTAAGTGTAATTTTGTTTACTTTTTCTACTCTCTTTAAAAGTTTTTTTGGTTACTAGTTTTGATTTCCTTTTTTATTTTGTAAATTAGTTTAGTTGTAGAATTGTGTGCACTAATTGTGGTATTTTTAATAATATATAAGAAATTCAGAATTCAACTGCAGCTTTAACATAATATGAAGTCGGAGTTTCTATTAGATATATGTCAATTAAGATTAAATTGTATAGAAAAAGTGTCATATTTTTAGACTCAAATTACTTATAACTACATATGATAAGATAAAAAATTAAGCGTTTTCAACAATAAATATCTGGCCCACTGAAAGGACTTTATTTACTTATGTCAGAATTTCTAATTCTCGAAATTAAATTTTTTACTATAGCCAACAGCCCTTGATTCGATTGGCCGTTTATCTCCTCAATCGTAGCAAAATGCTTTCCTTTCCTCAGTGTATTCAGTTTTGTGAAAAGGAAACCCTCAGCGAGGCCAAAGTCCGCTGGATAGGGAGGTTGGGACATGGTTGAGGCAAGCATCGATGTGCGATAATAGTGTAAACTCCATGATTGGATTTTCCACAATTCAGTGACTTTCTGACGAATTGCTTCACGCAAAAGGCCTATAACTTCAAGGTAGTATTCCTTTCGACGCTATGGAAAAAATTATGATTGCAGTAGAAAAAAACAGTGAGCAAAATCTTCACATTTGACCAAATTTGACGGACATTTTTGAATTACTTCTTCTGGGCTATTTCTGAGGGTTGGTCATACGACGCTGCTCAAAATTCAGCAATTTAGAAACAATTATCGCATAAAACATCCGTACATGGTTTGACATGAGGCGAACGATATATCTATATCAAGAGCGCCATCTCTGATATTGATTCGATGATAATTAAAAAAAATCCTTAATCGGTCGTTGACGTGCTGGAGCAACCAGGGCGGACATCGTCATCCACATCTTCTAGGTCATCAATAAACCGATTATATCATAGTAGACTCGCCAAAGTCAACATGTGATGAAGACGACACATATCAGTTCCATAGAACCATATCACGTAATGAATTATGGATATATGGTTATGCATATTCTGCTTGCCTTTATACAATCTAGCAGGATAAATGATCTTCTTAAAGTCATTCAGAGAATTGGAAAACTTTATTGGTCTTGATGCAACTTCCTTAAATATCCAAGAATGTGATTATGAAACATATTCAGAAAATATCTTAAAAACCTGCCTTTATGATCTATCTAAAAGACCTACCAGAAATATTTTTAAAAATCCACATAGACGTCCAAACAAGCCTCGAACAACTATCCTAAGGATAGAATTTTTTCTCCCTAATAATTTGCGCTTCAGATCCGAAAGATCTCCCAGAAATGTCATTATCAAAATCTACCCTTGTTGCCATTTGGTACCCAATGATTATCCAAAATACCTACTTAAAACAAAATTCTTCGTAAAAATTCTTCTGGGAAGCCAAAATATCAAATTGCGGCCCATTGTAAAACCAGTTTGGTTTGGTTTTACAATGGGCCGCAATTTCCAAAAATATCGGAAATTTTTGGGTATTGTTATATGGTGTCTCATCCTAAAAAGTGAATCAATGTTGATAAATTTTGGCGTGGGAATTTGCTAACCAATGAGAGACCCAAATTTTTAATTACAGCCAATTCTTTTGAATAAAAAAAACGTGGCCATATTACCCGAATTACCGACAATTTGGAGATATCGTTTATGGGGACTACGCCAAAGTGTGGACAATTTAATACTAAATATCCTCAGAATAGTAGCAATGTATAAGCAAAATTTCAAAGCCCTATCATAAATATTTGAAACTCTATAGTGATTTAAACAGACGGACAGGGCTATTTCGATGTTTAATTGTATCCCTATCAAAGATATATATATATATAACATTCGGGATCTAGTGTAAATATTTCGAGGTGTTACAGAATGTTACCAAATGATAAATTTAATATACACTCCATCTTATTGTGGAGGATATCAAACAGATCATTAACATAGTATGTCATCACCGATTTTATCTCAGATGTGTTATTCTGCTCTCGTATTTTTTTTAATTATTTTATAAACAATAAAATTGCATGCTTTATTTTTTTAAATATTAACCACGATTTTAATCCTTTGTTATGGTTGTTTTTTTTTGCATGTTATCCTTTGCATATCCTTACCACAATAATAACATTTTAAATTGTTTTCTCCTTTCCAGATATCGGATAAAACTAACAAACAGAAACGTCATCGGACCCGATTTACACCGGCACAGCTAAATGAACTGGAACGATGTTTTTCGAAAACCCATTATCCGGATATATTTATGCGTGAAGAAATAGCTATGCGTATAGGATTAACTGAATCCAGAGTGCAGGTGAGTCGAGCAAAAGCTATTTAAATATTCCGAACACAAAAACAAAGAGACCTCACCGACTTTAATATGTGACAGAGAAAGTGAGAAGAAGGTTTTTTTTGGTGTCTTTAGTTGGCTTTTAATGTCATTAGCCACAAATCCTTTTAGATTGATTTACCGAGAAACGTGCATAGGCATACATAATGAGTTCAAGGCACAAACACACAGAAAAAGGATAATATAACAAAACTACAATGTCATTGTATTAAATTGCAAAGGAATACAACTATATAATTTCAAATCTCTACCCTGTAATGGCTAATAAACTAATTTTATTATTTTGGATTTTTTTCATCTGACTGTTATGGTCCTTTGATGAGCTGCTGTATTTGATGTTCTAAGGATATTTAATAGACATAATAATAATGATAAAGGCATTAATATGACCGCATAATAGCCAAAAACAACAACAACAGCATCATTGTTATAATAGTAAAGTTAATTTATATGCTAATTTTATTAACAACAATGCAACAACACCAAACATTGACAATGACAACAATAGCAATAGCAGCAACAGCAACAAAAAAAGGACACCCTGCTGCTGTACGGATAATACGTGTAAAGCCTTCGGAATGACATTTTAAGCCTAAAATCAAACATATTTTTATCTATAATAGTGCTAATAAACATAACACAAAATCCCTGCCAAAAGTCAGGGGGGAATCCTCCCCTCCCCTCCTCATCCTATGCTTAGGCAGCACAGCGACCCCTTGGCGCGTTACAATGCATTTAACACTTGTTTATGTTCTAGGCATTATCCAGTGAACGGGGTGTCAGGCAGGGTGAAAAAAGGTAGCACTGCCATTTGAGGGTGGTTTCTATTATTTCCGGCCTCCTGTATTCTGCTGGCCACTGTTGTTTGCTCCGTTCGGCAAACCAACATTGATTTACAATTATTAAAAACAATTTATCAAATCGGCTAAACACGAATTGGGATTTAAGTTGACTTTAATGCGATTTTTTGTTCGACAATTATTTGCCTGGTCTGCTCTGTAATTAGTTGGGTGAGGAGGAGTTTTTGCGTATACAAGGAATTTTGAAGTCATACTGTTTATTTGATCCTGTATAATTCGAACTGTCAACAAGGGAAGCAAGTATAAAATCGGCCCGATTGAACTATTTATATCTTCCACCATGAGAGTATAAGAACTGTTATTAAGGGGCCATGGTGTGATAAATTATTGGAAGGAAGATTTGAAAAACAAATCAGATCCCAAGATATCAAGTTAGGGTCAATTCGGTTAATAAAAGTATTGAAAGTACCCAAATCGGAATAATGGAAAAAATCACTGTTCTTCACAAAAAATCTCTTGGCCCAGACAAGACACCAAAATATCATAAAAAATCTGCCTTATGAGCTGATTGACCTACCGGAAATATTTTTCAAAATCCACATAGACGACCTGATAAACCTCGAAGCAATATCCCAAGGATATGGATATTTTCTTTCGAGTAATTTGGTAATTAAGGAATCAATATGGATAATAATTATCCAAAATACCAAATTTCGCCAAAATTTGGTCTACCCTAAAATGTAGGAAAATTTATATTTTTTTATTTTTGTAAAACAAGTCTGTTTAAAAGTTCCAAATGCAAATACACATTTGATCTCACATTTATATGAAATTTCTAGGCTAACCACCAACAAAATTAGCCACCTGTTTGATATTGCCTTTAAATAAAACTTTAAGGCCACACGAAACATACAAAGAAGCCACCATGGATAGCTGGGGTGGAGGACAAAAAGAAACTATTTACCAAAAAACAACAACAAACGAAACTTTGGACATTTATTTAAACCACAAGGCAATAATAAACTTCTACGTTTTCAACTTGAATATTACAGACAAGCCTCCTCCATTTAATGTGTGAGTATGTATGTGTTTCAAACACACACACACTACATTTCCTTTATAGATACATTTATCCCGGCCATAAGCCCAACCATATATATAGTATATGGTAGAGATTTCGCTTAAAAGTGGAGTAAAATCCAAACAAACAAAACATCACGCTCGTACACACACCGAACACAGCAAAGAGCAACAAATTTAATGAAGCAGTAAATTTGATTGTCGCATAAACAAAGGTTAGTAGACAACAACGAACAGAAAAAAGAGCATACCAGGATTTTTGAGAATGATATTAACCGTAGCAGCAACACCAGCACCATCAACCACCCTCCCTCCAAACATTATTTCTCCGCCATTCATTGACTTCCGTATATTTTCCCCCCAAGACCCCAGAAAAAAGTAATGGTTTGCTGTCTGCAGCTACGTAATAGTCGTAGTAGAGGAAAATAGCTCTACTCTGGCTAGCCATTTTTTGTTTTTTCCTACTTTTTTCGTGCCTGTAATATTGCTTTAACCATTTTGGCAGTCAGCTTAAATTTGACTTTATGAGTTTTGCATAAAAGCATACTTTTAGGCTTTAAATGTAAAAATATTATTAAAGCATATTTTTTGCTTATTTTGATTTCATTCGGGTTTTTGTGAGGGAAAGAAGAAATTTAAAAAAATTACATTTTAAAGAACATAACTTTTTTCTCGAAGACAAAATTTGTTGCATATTTTATCTTCACTGTCTCATTTTTGGGTTTCAATCAATATTTTCATTCAAAAAATCGATATTTAGACATTATTCTATCATTAAAATAAAACATGCATTTGCGGTTTTGTTCCAAGCATTTCGAATTAGCCACAAATTTGTGGTATTAGTGCTTTCAATCAATCACTTTTTAAATAAATGTCCGTAGTGTATGCAGATGAACATAATTTAAAGAATAGTTAAATGATGTATTTGTTGTCTAAGGTGGAAATTACTAATGAGGGCTATTTAATCGGGAGGAGAAGAATGGAGAAAAATTGCATATGTCTAGGAGACAGGACAACTAATTTCATTACCATTTTGTAAACAAATTTTGAGTTATAAATATTAAAACTTAAACATTTAAAAAATTTATAGGATCTAGTAAAAGGAAATCATTCGATTTCAGGCTCAGCAGGGCCGTGTCATTCCTTATGTTGATGAAACCAATAGCGGGTATATTAAGAACCCAGAAGGACAAATTCGACATATGTTGATGGAATCCCTGAGGGTATATTAAGAACCCAGAGGGAAAAATTCGACAAAGGTCAAGTTGTTGAGTTATGCATGTATGATCACGACTTTGTGTCACAATGTAAATTTTGGTAGAAAACTTTTTCCAGGCTCTTGGTGAATCTTGACATACACAGATAAAAAAAATCGTATATTATATGAATAGTGTTCAGAAAATGTATCCAATGTCCGGATTTCTGCATTTTATGAATGCAATTCATAAGACATTAAATACTGGTATCTTGTCAGAGAGAGAGAGAGAGAGAGAGCGAAAAAACCAATATTGGAGTTGTGTTTGGTGGTGGTGATGGGTTTTCTATGCCACAGACAATATTTGTTGGTTTAATTTTATGATTTATTTTTTGTCTCGATTTTTTACTTACATATTCAAGATTTGCTTCATTATAAAATCATATACAATGCAAAGCTTTCGGTTGAGTTTGTTGTTTATATCAACACTTACATCCTATAATGCATTTGTGATTTATATCAAAACAATTTGGAAAATACATATGCGAATTTTATAACACCTATGCAGAAGTGTGTAACAGTATCTGAAATAAGGAAACAATGGAATGCAAAATTAGCCACAAGAAAGAAAAAATAAAAGAAAAACACACAGCCAAACAAGAACGGCGGTGATATTTTTCATTTATTTTCGTAAAAAAACTAGAAAGAGAAAGAGGGAGAAATGAGCACAAATAGTGGGAATGTAGAGCGAAGTACGAATATAATTTTGAAATTTATGAAAGGTTTACATTTTTTTTTTTGGAAAAATTAGTGGCTTTCTCATGATTATATGAATTTTTATTTGTATTTTTAGCGAGGTGGAACACTGTGGAAAAAATAAATAATGAGTGGTATTATGAATATATTTTTTTCTGTGTAGATACTCCCTATTTTCGGTATATTGAAATTAGTCCTGGCAGACAATATACAATGACATATATAATAATATTAAAATTGGGTCCGATAGAGTTTAAAGACAATATTTTCTTACACTATGACCAATATCTTAAGTATGATCATCTAAAGACCAGCAATAAACAGAATACCGTCAAAGTTACGCAAATCAAAGCCAAAGCAATAAAGGGATGTGATCTGAGCAAAGTGAGATATGTGACCTATTACGAATGCACGACTTCAGGAAGACTTCTATGTAAAGAACACCTTCCATTGACAGAAGTTTTTCTATATATGGACAAGATTCAGTGAATGACGACATTCCACAGAACTTGTAAAATGAAACACCTAATAGATATATATTTTGTGTAAGTCCATTAAGGGGACCCCCCCATTCTCGGGGTCAAAATTTTTGTTGATATAATTCGAATCTACACTGATTAAAGAATGTCTCTACAAAATTTCAAGTGAAAATCTCAAGAACTGTTGAAAATATATCCGATTTATTGTGTCAGCATCAAGTGACGGCTGAAGGGCTTCTCAAACTTTAAACGCGTTTTTCTCTAAACATTTTTTTTGCGAATGGCGGCACGATAACTCAAAAACTAATAATCCAATCGGTTCCAAATTTTGCAACGTTTCTCTGGGAGTGTATAGCTCTCGTATGAACTAGGATAAAGCCAATCGGTGAAGATCTTCCTTATTTTTTAACTTGGTTTTTGGTAAAAAATCCGCGATTTTTCAAAAATATTTTTTCAAAGGGCCACCATTTTCTTAATTTTAGAGCGAAGTCAATAATCCTAGTTCATACGAGAGTCAGACATGTACTCTTTCTAACACCGTTGGAATTTTCGGATTCCGATGTTCCAGTGAGGAGTTATCATGCCCGCCATCAAAAATAAGGACTTTTCTTTAATTACAAAAAACAACAACAAAACAATAACAAAATTTTTTTG